TCCCCCAAAAATCCGTACTGACCGTATTTGGAGTGATACACCCCTCGATTGGACAAACAGCTGCTACATAATATATAACTGGAGGCACGGCCAGTGAGAACATAGCTACAGCGCGAAAATTAAATATATTGGCATAAAATGTGCGTTTAGTGTTATTTATATACGAGTATATATACGTATAATACACAGGCTGACCTTTTAACCTTAATTTTTATTATTAACAGTATCAGTAATGGCATCTTGGTTTTAACCACAGGTTTTTCCCACGTCGCGTTAAAGGTGTGTCATATTTTCCATCCGGATCCTGCATGTCATCTCAATTGCGGTTCTAAAGCATGCTGTATCTGCATCCCAACATACATAATATTTGCGCGCTACTTATGCAAATATTGCGTGTACACGCTTTTTGCGGTCGCTGCGCCCACATCGTGGATCTTATGGTGGAATATTTCAAAATGCCCCAACTCAATCCAAGTTCTTGTAGATTATAAGGGGTGATATGACAATATATCTTTCAAATCAACACTACAGTATTCATATTGGTGAGCACAACATATAGCAGCATCGTCTCATTAATGTAATTTTGCCGTTGGTTAAGGCACCGGGCATATCATTTCAGCCATCTATCTTCTCAGTCGACAAGCATGTCGTTAACCATTACTAGAATTAACTTGGGGCAACGCCGCCATTTACTTCTTCAAAGCACGATGTAACATTTCCACTATTTTTACTCGCTGTTTTCGTCCTGTATGCATGTATAACGTTTCGCACCCACTTAATTAAATGATGTGCTGGTCGATCCTATATTGAAAGCCTCATGCACCAAAATCTAAAAGGAGCGCGAGCTACATTTCTCATTAGTAATAATGTTAATGGTCCACGCGAATTTAATACTGCACCAATTTAAATATAGAATTCAATCATCTAATTCTGGCCGTTTTAAATATAGAATTCAATAATTTAATTTTGGTTGGGGAATATATATATATATATATATATATATATATATATATATATATATATATATATATATATATATATATATATATATATATATAACATATATATATATATATATATATATATATATATATATATATATATATATATATATATATATATATATATAGGCATTCCAAAGACTAACTGTATGTAAAGACTTCAATTTTGTCTGCATATCTATTTTCCGGTGCACAAATTTTAACGATAGAAAATTACCTTATTACCTCCTTTACAAAACAGGTCCTGGATTTGTTAGTTCATGAATTTGTTGTTTTAGCTATATAAAACACAATTAATGCATTACAAAGATAGACGAAAGTCGTATATAAGCTGTCTGCATGTATATGGAATAGAGGAATGGAATATCGCGCAGATGTATTGCAGCACTTGACCAATTCCATAATCCCCGAGCCGACGGCGCGAGGGTACCAATTCCCCCCGGCTATTTACACCCGGGGAAACGAAAGCATTAGCGAAGTGTGCGGCGGGGTTTATCGAAATATTTTTCAAGGTAAGATGAAGTTTGATCACAAATAACAATGTGTTCTGGTCGATACGTGTTGAAATTTGGAGCGAATTTTAGTTATGTGCATACTGTCAAGTCTTCATATAAACAAGTATATTCCAGCTCGTCGATTGTCAGTTTGTATAAAATCTGATTGAGCTTGATCATAGGCTTGATATACTTGATAGAACATCGTACTTCAAGGTATAAATAATCACAGTGATAGTTTATTATTATAATAGTGTTATTATGGGCAATAGAGCAATATCGTGCCCGCATGAACACACAATTGTACACAAATGAAAAATTATCTTGACTTGTACAAAGACATTCCTATAGCAACCCAATGTGGATTGTTGTCTGCATATATTAACTTTATACCAGCAGTTACATGTATTAATAACATGTCAACCGACTTTTGTAAAAGGTATAACGGTCTGTAAAAATATATCTCTGAGATATGTCCATTGTTAGCATAATAGGAAATAATCCTACCAGCCTATACATTTATACACTCACCTGGCTGTGTCACTACAGTTCAGGGTATACTATAGTTTTTGATAATGCTCATATAATTTCTTGTATTATATAGTTTTGCAGTTCTGACTGAGTACAATCTTAATCATTACAAATGAATGGTGTCATCAGAAGCTGATATATGAAACAAAACTGTCAACAAATAAATTTTGTCTCTCCATCAGGCATCAGCGGATTGTTCAGTTGTTTTACAATAGAGGTAGCCTTGAAGGTGCCCTTAAAACGATAATTGCGACAAAAACTTTACGTAATATTTCTATGTATATGAAATTGTTATTAAATTCTACATGATTCATTCAAGTATTCTTATTGTTTATATATAATATGATTTTGTATAATATTCAGTGACAAGCTATATAACCATGGCAACTGGCCATGTCAATAAATCTGCATCTATTTAAATAATGCAAATCATTAAAAACTTGTATAGTATGACCTGTTGCTATGGCTTAGCTTCACCACTGCATGACAGTATTATGATTATACATGCAAAAGCTAGAAGTTATAAACATTGAATATTTAGCTGATCTTTGACCTTGTGCAAGGTGTTCGATATTCAAATTGCACTTTTCCTACCTCCTGAACAGGTGTCTTAGGGGCTGTTTACATGATGGAAGATGGGATGTCATGATTTTGATGTATTGAATAATTAAGTCACTGGGCTAAACAAAAGTTGAAGTGCTGGTTAAGAGAACTCAAATATTGTAGAGAAGATCTTCTAGTTCATGAAGATTATCATTACCTTTCGTTTACAGTTAATTAAATCTATCTCTACTGAGAAAATAATGAAGTTTCTTGCTGAATTGTGCACCGTGACTTGTTTCAATACATCAAAATAACCCCGCCTCACATCTTGTCTTGGCAAAGCGGAATCATATAAACACCCCTTATTCAGCAAATTGTGCATGCTTCCTTTGATCCCTTGGGCTTGAGGCAGCACTTTCCTTGCGGTAGTAACTTCTAGTATCAGAATACTAATTAGGACTAGAAGTTACTAGCGCAAGGAAAGTGCTGCCTCACCCCCAAGGGATCAAAGACAAGGGAGCATACGCAATTTGCTGAATAAGTGCTGTTTATACGGATCCTTAAACCGCTTTGCCAGGACGAGATATAAGGCACGATGATTTTGTGAAAAACTTTATTTTCTAGAGATGGATTATAGTCAACTGTAAACGAAAGGTTGTTCAAAAAGCTATAAAAATTTTGAACTACATATTTTCTCTACAACATTTGAGTTCGGATAGCCAGCATTTGAACTTTCGTTTAGTCTAGTGACTTATTTCAATACATCAAAATCATCCCATCTTCCATCATGTAAACAGCCCAGAGTATGCCCGTTCACAGGTTAGGTGTTGGGCATGACCTAACTTGCGAACGGGCATACTCTGGGTACGAGATTGCTAATATAATACGCCTGTTCAGGATGCAGGAAAAGACCGAAAAGTGCAATTTGAATATCAAACACCTTGCAGAAAGTCGAAGTTCAGCTAAGATTTTAATCCTACTTTCTTGGTATGGGTGGTTTTATATGAATCCCTTCAATGCTTATAACTTCTTGCTTTTGTATGTATAATTATACTGTTAATGGTGAAGCTAGCAATTATTAAACTAAACTCTACATGTCCAATGATTTATTCAAGTATTATGATATCATTGTCGATATATATGGCAATATGTCATTGTACAGTATTCAGTGGCAAGCTAGCCACGGCAACTGGTCATGCTATGCTAATAAACATGGATCTAAATCATTAAAAACTTGCATAACATGACTTGTTGCTGCAATTTCATTTTCCTTACTTATATAAAAATTTGCGCAGTACTAGAATTCGCGCAACGCTGGGTTGGGCGAATTTTAGTAATGTGCGAAATATAATCCGCGCGAAAAGCTTTGTGATGTAATATGAGACACCGGTTGTTAGTAATGAGAACCATACAATAAATGTTCGCCGTGGATATTCGTCCGACATTTCCATAGTTATTAAAGTCGTTAAATATAAAACCGCAAGCGAATCTTCCGTAGTGTTGTGGTTTAGGCCACATTTAGGCACCCGTATTGCGTGCGCCAAGTTCTGGGATCGATTCCTGCTTGCGTCACTATTCTATTATTTTTTTTGTACTTTTTTATCTTCGTGGTTTTCCGGCGCTTACGCACCGCGTACGAAACCGTCGAAACGTATAGTGTATAGAATAATATGTTGTTGCTTCGTTCTTAAGAAACAACGCAACCGTTTAGTGATTTAGTGTTAGCTTTTAAAGTGTTGTCGGATTAATAGCCGTGAAGTTAGAAGATCCGGTGTCGGACGAATATCCACGGGTGGTCCGTCAGAGTCGTACACTTCTTTAGCCAAATGTAGTCTGACCCGTAATCGTATAGTTTTGAATATTTATTATACAAACTGACACTGATATTGATACTTGTACGGAGTACTATTCGATTTCTTTGGCGGGTCACTAGGACTACATTCAAACAGTTCAAAATACAGGTTAGCAGAATAAACAGAATACAATATTACAACAGGTTAGCCTTTTCACGTTTCAGTGGGTCCTTTCGACCGCAGTTCCTTATCTCAATTAACAATAATCTTGAACATGCAATTTATGTAAATGTCAAAACTGACAAGATATGTCATTGTCGCAAAACTAATTTAAACTAACAGAACTAATATATTAAAATGTACGTAAATTAATTATGCAATTGTTACGTCGTGAGTGTCTAACGAAACACTCTCCCCCCCCCAATGAGGGTACTCTCATTCTTCAGAATCTTCTGCCGGGTGTATAACTGCTATCTTCGTAATCGGTCTGCTGTACTCTCTGCCGGATGTGAGGACCGTTACATTCCTGACTCGTTTGTCATTTCCTGGATAAACTTTCGTCACTCGTCCTATTGTCCATTTTCCGCGAACCGCGTTGTCATCAGCGACCATAACTACGTCGTTAACTCGAACATCACGGGTCGTCGTGTTCCATTTCTTTCGCGGAAACAAAGACGGGAAAACATCACGTGTCCAGCGACGCCAAAACGAATCAATAATCTTCTGCACGAATTCTACACGCTTACGAGGATTCTTAGTTTCATTAAACGGACCTTGTGGTACTTGTGGCGAGGCTCTTCCGAGTAGAATGTCGTTTGGGCAAATGTATGCACCGTCGTCTGGGTCGTTTGGGATTCTTCCGATTGGACGCTGGTTAACTAGGTTGGCGACTTCAAGCAGGCAAGTGTAAAGTTCGAAGGGTGTCAACGTTGAATCACCAATTGCTTTTTTTAAAGCAATCTTCACGCTCTTTACAAGCGCTTCTGCGCAACCATTCTGTTGTGGAGCTGCAGGGGTTATGAATCTCCATTCCATTCCCTTTTCCGCTGAGAATTCTCGTAATTTCTTTGCGTCCAGTCCTTTGACCATCTTTCGGAGCTCAGCTACTGCTCCAACTAGTTGTGTACCGTTGTCGCTGAGCATGCACTTCGGATAACCTCTCATCGCAAAAAATCTTCTTAAGACTTGCAGAAAATCCATGGTTGTACAATCAACTGCTAACTCTAGGTGCACTGCTCGTGTGTTGAGGCATGTGAAAATTACACCGTAATGCTTTGTAGTCTTGTTGCGTCCGATCTTTACTTTGTAGGGACCAAAATAATCACATGACGTGAAGTGGAACGGTGGGGTGTGTGGGGCCAATCGTAATTCGGGTAGGTCGGCCATAACTTGGACTTCGGCTTTGGGTTGCATTTCTTTACAAAACACACATTTATGTTTAACAGACTTTGCAAGATCATGTCCTCTTATGATCCAGAAATTTCGTCGAACTTTTGCTGCTGTAGTTGCGACTCCATTGTGACCAAAACTGTGTGACTGGCGGGTAATAAGGAGGGATATCCAACTGGCATAGGGTAGCAACGCGGGGTGTTTTGTCTCGTAGGATACTGTAGCTTTGTCTGCTCTTCCACCGACTCGGATAACTCCTTCAGAATCTGTAAATGGAGTTAATGTCGTCAGCTCTCCTTTCTTAATTCGATTGTGAAGATCTTTCTGTGCGTCTTTTATCAAGTATGTTTCAGCTTCATTCAATTGTTGTGCACTAAGGTATTTGGGATCAGGATTTACTAACTGTTCGGGGGCTTCATCAGTTTTTTTCTTACGAATCTTTCGAACGAATTTTAAAACATATCCGGTAACTCTGATCAGCTTTCTCCAACTCGAATATTTCTTGGGTTCAATTGGGTTACAATTCTCGGATGTCTTCACAGTGCCGACGATCTTGCGGGCTTCTTTGGATACTTCTTTATCGTCAACCTCCGATAAATCTTGTGGCCAATCCTCCCGGGGCAAACGCAGAAATTCTGGGCCGTGCTGCCATCTTTCATTTAACTCGTGAACTGCTATCCCCCGAGATACATCATCAGCCACATTTGACTCGCTGGATACGTGTCTCCATTGTTTGGGATCACTGTTGCTCTGGATTTCTCCAACTCTTGAAGAAACAAACTGCTTGTAAACTCGAGATGTACTTTGTATCCATGCCAAGACAATTTTACTGTCAGTGAAATAGATTATTTCTTCAAATTCCAATCGTGACTCCTTCTGAATTATCGTTGACAGACGTGATGCTAGTAGTGCAGCTTGTAGCTCCAATCGTGGAATTGTAAGCTTCTTTAACGGAGCGACTCGTGATTTCGCAGCGACAAAACGGATCTCGAATGTTCCATCTTCTTTCTTCCAACGGAAATAGGCACACGTCCCAAAAGCATATTCAGATGCGTCTGCGAAGATACATAAAATTGGCAGGCCAATGCTATCAAGTGCAAATAAACCTCTCGGGAAGGATACTTCATTCAGGGTTTTCAATTCTTCGAAGAACTTTGTCCATTTTGCTTGTAGGTTCGGTGATAATTCGTCGTCCCAGTCGACTCCCATTTGCCACAGTTCTTGCATTCCAATTTTTGCTCGGATTAGAAACGCTGTCGCAAAACCGATTGGATCATAAACTTTCGCTACCTGGCTGAGGATATTTCGTTTCGTGCTTGGCTGGTCACACTCGACTTTCGTTATAAAACGTAGCTCGTCTTTGGCGCTATTCCAGACGACACCTAACACTTTGTCGTTTGAACTTGGTTGAAGGGGTTTTACATGCTGTTGTTGTTCGGTATTTGGGTCGAGGTCTTTGTTGGACAACCATTCCTTTATCTTGAATCCTCCCTTTTTCAACAAGCTGTCAATTTCACTGGTTAACTTTCGAGCATCTTCAGTTGAATGGACTGAGTCGCAGATATCGTCCATGTAACTATTATCTCGTACTGCTTCAGCTGCACGTCTACTCTCGTTTTCTCCTTCTTGTGCTGTCTTACGTAGGGCGATTTGAGCCATAGCTGGAGCAGGCTTATCTCCAAAGGTAAGCACTGTCTTGACGTAGGTATCGGGTGGTCGGGTGGTATCCAGGTTTCGCCAGAGAAAACGGTGAACATGTTGGTCTTCTTGTGGTATCAGTACCTGATGGTACATCTTGGAAATATCGCCAGATACCGCAACTTCATTCTCTCGAAATCGGAGTATCACTCCAAATAAACTATTGAGGAGATCTGGGCCTTTCAACCAATAATCATTTAGAGAATGTCCCTGATACACGGCGGATGAATTGAATACAATTCGGAGAGGGGTACTTGCCTTCTCGGGACGTAGGATGGCATGGTGGGAAACATAATGTACTGGACCTTTATAATTTTTGAGCTCTTCTTCAGTTACCTTTCGAGAAAAGTTCATTTCGTTCATTTCCATCATTTGCTTGTCGTAGGCTGCAGCTTGCTCTGGTTGTTTCATTAGTCTACGCTCGGTGGATTCCAATCGCTTGACTGCCTGAGAACGGTTATCCGGTAATTGTTTTGGGTCTTTTTTCCACGGGTAAGGTATCAACCATTGATTGCCAACTTTCTTGCACGACTTTTCTATAACGAGCTTTTCTTCGTTTTCAGCTTGACTCAGTTTCTCAGGTTCGCACAGACACGGTTTTACTTCTACACCCATTGACTCTGTTGTCCAGAAGTCGGTTAAATCTACGGGCTTGGAAAACTTGACGCAGAATATCTTATTCACTCGATTGGTCTCTCCAGGTGTAGATCCAAAGACTACCCATCCCAGCGGCGAATTTCTTGCAACCAAGCATTTTGTTTGTCTCGTCTCCCCGGTATGCATAAATGCATGGTCGATTCCTATCAATAGGTCTATGCTGCCTTTTCCACGGTGGATTTGACTTCGTGTTAGCCCAAAACTGTCCGAAATCTTGTCGATTTTCATTTCTGTTACGTCATCACTGATGCAGGCAATCCCAACTGCTGTTACCGAGTAAGTCTTCTGCGTGTCTAACGAGGTGACAGGAACTCTGTATACCTTTGACTTCACGTTTTCTTCCTCACCGCCAACTTTGGTTATAGTTATTGAAACATCTTTGCCTTTCAATCCAAGGGATTCCGCAGTTTCTTGCTTTATTAAACTGATTTGTGCTCCGCTGTCGAACAAAACGTTTCCTCTTTTGTACATCTTGTTTGTACCACAGATATTGGCGGAAATCATCGGGAGAAGGGACTCTTGATTTTCATTGGTCAATGCTACACCTACATTAGCTTTGGTACTTTGATGCAACAGGGGGTGATGAAAGGAAGGGCATTGTTTACCATTTTCAACTATTGTACATTGTCTACGTCTATTACAGTTCGACATTCTATGATCTCGACCAGCTCGCTTTAGGCAACTAAAACATACGTGGTTTTCTTTGGCAACATCAAGGCGTTTTTCGGGTTTTAGAGCTTTAATCTTTTCACATTGATCCGGCCAGTGGGCAGAATTCTTGCAAAACCAACATTTATGTCTCGTGATGTCACTTTTTCCGTCATCAGTTTTCGTTAAGTGGGAGATAAAGCGATTATTGCTACTAATGGTTCTAATCGGCGCTGTTGCACGCATTCGAGACTTCATTTCTATCGACATCCAATCAATCAAACCTTTCAACGATGCCTGTTTTTTTATCTCGCTGTAACTCTCGTGACCACACTTTCCGGTCGTCGATACACATTTTTTGCTCTATTATAGACAACATATGGCTGTTATCCATATCACTAGGTAGTCCGACCTCTTTCAATGTATTATAACATCGTCGCACTAGATGAACTAACTCGCAAAATCGGGAATCTTCGCCTTCGCGAAGCGGCTTAAATTTGGCAATATCTTGAGTAATCGTGTCCGAAACATATCGGGGGTCTCCGTAAACAGAATCGAGGTATTCCCACGCAGCGTCGTAATCTGAGCCTATTCCTTTAATTAACTCAAGTGGTTTACCCTCGAGACATGTTCGTAAAAATGTCATTGCGTCGCGTTTACCATATCTTGATTCTACTGCGTATTTAAAATCAGCGCGGAAAATTGCGTATTCTCTTACATCACCGGTAAATTTGGGCATTTTAGGCTTTTCCATTTTAAAACTACATTGTCGAGAATTCGCCTCCAAAATGTAGTCCTCGACAAGTCACAAATGTTCGAAGTAAGAAAAATGTATATTCAAACAAAACATAAAATTTACCAAAGATATATAACAAAATTAAAAGGTTCACAATGGTCACGATTACGTATAGATAGATAGCGCACGGGCTATTATCTCTCTTTCACAATACAATTTCTCTCTCACTCACTGTCACAGTCCAACTACGATTGTTCAACTAACTCTCTGCTCTCTTTCGTGACTATTTCACTCACACCCTCACTTTGACACCTAATCATTCCTACGTCATGCATTAATAATCAATTAAAATAATAATCTTATCTGTCAGTTCCCGACACACTCCCCCATATAGCTCAGAATTGAGGTATATGTCCTTGAAGGGACTGACTTCGTTGCTGTAGTTCATCATTTACTACCTAACAAATAGAATATATAAAGTTAATATGGAAAAAAGTTATAATAAATGTCTCGCATCAGTGTTCTTCCGCATTCGCGACTTGCTTCAACCGTATCTTTGCTGCTTCTGCTGCATCCCTAGTCGGACGTGGGGTAAAGGTTGGTGCTTCCGGGTTGGGGGTCCACTTTGTCTCGTCGCAGGATAGCTCTAAGGGATAAATATGCTGGACCGCTCGCTCGATATTCCCGTTCGAGGTCCGTATACTAGCTCCCTGTATCACATCATCTCTTCCTTTCATCACCCTGGACACGACTCCGAGTTTCCATGCATGACGTTTCTTGTCTTCGTCCCGAATTATGACGATCTCCCCGATTCTTGGATAGGAGGTCTGTTTGCCGACCCGTTGGTTATGGCGTTCGCGCAGGCTTCGAACATACTCTTGGGACCAACGTTTCCACATCGCCTCTTTACTTTTCCGTAATAGTCTCGCACGTTTCCGCAAATCTCTATCTTCCAGGTAGTGGGGATCAGCTTCAGGTAGGACACAAGGGTTAATGTTCAGCATTGAGGAAGGTGTAAGTACTGGTAATTGGATGTCATCTTCTAGATAGGTCAACGGACGATTATTGAGAGCCACTTCCACATCCAATACTACTTCCTCTAATTCGTCTAAGGTCAACGTTCCGTTACCGATCGTTTTGTAGAACGCTCTTTTGAAGAGACCAATGAGGCGTTCAAATTGGCCTCCCCACCATGGTGCACGACTAAGGTTGAACCTCCACTCGATTCACTCGATTGCGTTGTCAGCCAG